AAGTAAAGTAGTCTGGAGATATTCGAAATTTAGTCCCACCTAGAATGAAGTCATTTTCGCCTAGTCAGTCATGGAACTTCATCTTCTTGTATTTGTTCATCGACCCAAGTGCGATTATCATACCGAAACCAAACAATGGGAATATGTGTCCGCGCACTTCGAAACGGTCTTTAATGTTCGCTTTGGGTGAGTGGTATTTTGTCATCTCTCTCTATTTGCCAGGCATGGCGGCGGATAATATTTCCCTATCACTACTTCAAACGGTTGTGACTTTGTGTGACCTACCCTGCCTTAATACCCTCGCTGTCTTTAGCCGTTTTTGTGACAAGTTCGTAACTGGATGTGCGGAAGATAGACCTACTTTGGTCTGTTCACAAACTCTAAGAAATACGTGAAACATATAAGTAGATGTAAATTGTAGCACTCTTCCTACAAGAACTGATTTGCGTGTACTTTTCATACTACAATAATGCTCCTAATTGTGCAATTTTGTCATGAAAACAAAAAATATCAAATAGTTTCTCACGGGCGAAGGATTTGAAATAGTTCCGTGCAGAGCTTCTTTATCCCAGAAACATCTAAATTCGGGTTCGAACCTTCGAGGAAGCTACCAACAGCCTCAAAGACCTCATCGGGTGATTCGAAGTGATCACCATTCTCAGTGATAATGCCTTAAGCCGATGAAAAAAATGTAAATATACAAACCCTCAAGATAGGTGTCGACGTCTTTATCCATCGAAGGAAATATCCTCCTAACTTCATTCATTGCTTCAGCATATTTCGCCTGCATACTGAAGGAGAAAAGCAAACCTGGTGGTGAAAAGCGCCAGGCCGTCTGTTCGAAAATGTGCCCTCTGGTCAGCGTATTAAAAAGTCCTCGTTTAACTTGTTTAGTCTTCCTGATCGATGTTCAATTGGCTGTAGGATGTATTTCCTATATTCGGTTATTTATCCTTAAATCCAATATTTTCTTGTTCAGCACTCACAAGGTGTGCGTATACTAACGGAATGAGATGCTGTATAGAAAGTGTGCGCTTATTTAGCTTGTATATAGTAAAATGAATTATATGAATAGGTTATAATAACGATAGGACTGGATAAATAAACAAATACCAAGACGTGGAGGATTAAGGGAAATCTTGTGGCGAGTCAGATGTGGTGAAGTGAACAGATCTTGTGTCGATGGGATCGCTGAAGGTGGTGGTAGTTTAGGTGGCCGTGGCCGTAGCCGTTTGGAAAAAAAATCGGTCCATGTTCTTTCCTGGCTGCCAAATCCAGAACCAGACATAGCTTTTGGAGATTAAAAATGTCCGCCTATAATTTTGGTGCTCCAGTGGTTGGAGGTATATGATTCTGGTTCCTGATGAATGTTCACATGGTTTATTGAATAATACGGTAACCTTCGTGGAGGATAGTTGAAGGATCCCATTGTTGTGATCTTATTAGATCCAAATTCTTCCCAGATGTTTATGGTCAGGTTTTTAGGTTACGTTCAGTCCACACTGTTTGAGATTTGAATAATCTGTCCTATGTGTAAGTACTTACCTGAGGAACATCGGAGACTCCTTGTCAGCGACGATCATCAGCCTTAACTAAACATCGACGGTCACGACCTAAATGTGCCTGGGGTTATTAAGGATCTGCGCATGTCATATTCTAATAGTCTTCATATGTCGGAGCACTGCGCCCTAATTGTCTCGAAAGCAAGCCGTACTACCGGAAATATTCTCAGAAGTATTCTTATAAAAGGAACTTTAGAACTAGTCTGAATACTGCTGGTTTCTGTTTAGCCCTCTGCATGCTAGCGCATTGAAGAAAATAGAATCCCTCCAGCATTTCGTCACTTAACCAGTTTTCCTTCCAGAACATCGTTGTAAGCTTACTAAATTCGATCCGTTGTGGTTTCGTAGATTACAAAAGGGAATATTTGTACCATTTAAATTCTTAAACAGTCCTCCGTAACACTGAGATTGTTAGACCAACCTCGGCACACCAGTCATGGAGAAATATTTTTATGTATTCCTCCGGTACACACAGTTAGATATAGCCAGCAGTCTGAAATAAGCCACCAAGAAGTATCGAAATTCGGCAGCTCCGAGGCACGGCACGTGCACTCGTTCGACTGCCAAATTCTTCTAACTTATTCTCAACCAGTTCTATACAGAATACGCTATTCCTCCAAACTGGCGCTCTATTTCTTCTCTTCCCTGCTTGACGTAGATTTAGGTTTACCTGTAAATGCCCTTTGTCAGAAGCATTTCTGATGAGGCTCCAAATCTTAATATCATCGACAAACATGGCGACATCCCGATCCAGCT